GCTCGCGGAGGAGACGCCCTGCTCCTGGGACCTCAGAGCTTGGGCGTGACCAGCCAGGTCGCCTTTGTCTCCAGCACTTAGTGATCCATTCATTCAAAACTCGCGGCCCATCTCAGTGCCAGTTCCTTCCGTTACACCCTCAGGTAGCTTTCTCCTTTCTCACCACGTCGGTGTTTCTGCCCGTCGCGGCTCCAGCTCCCCTCCACCGGCTTTCGGCGCGCACCTGAGCAGCCATCCGGTGTGGGGCAAGGAAAGCACGGCCGGGCCGGCTGTGCCTCGGAGCTCCGACCTCGCTGCCTGCCTCCTACATTTCCCTCACTCACTCACCGCGGCCTCTCTCTTACCGAGCTCCATTCCTGTTTCACTGAGAAGATAGAAGCAATCAGAGAACTTCCACACGCTCGCACCGCAGCACCTGCCCACCCCCGTCTCTGCCTACACAGTGGGCCTCCTGTTACTCCCGTCAGCTGCGCCCTCCATTTGGGCCCTAGCTGCCAGCCCTGGGCTACGCGGGCCTTAGGGAGCACTCACCTATCTCCAGCAATTCTCTCCTCCCTCCCGGACACCCATTTCCCTTCTTGCCCGGTTCACTCCTATCAAAATTCAAACATGCTGAAATATCTTCCATCTTCAAACAACCCTTTCTTCTTTTTTTTTCTTTTTTTTAATATATCTTTATTGATTTCAGAGAGAGGAAAGGAGAGGGGGGGAGAGAGATAGAAACATCAATGATAAGAGAATCCTTGCGGCTGCAGCCGGCAACCTGGGCATGTGCCCTGACCGGGAATCGAACCCTGATCGCCTGGATCCTAGGTCGCTTAACCGCTGAGCCAGGCCCAGCTGAGCGAAACAACCCTTTCTTGATCCTACAGTTCCCCCTCCCCATTTCCCTGCCCACTTTGACAGTGTAAAGCCTCAAGTGCGTGGGCTTGCTGCCTCCAGTCTCCTCCCTCTCTCTCGAGCCCTGCCCAGCCAAGCCTATGCCTCCTTTGCTCTACCAAAACCTCCGGCCAAGGTCATCACGAGCTCCACAGCGCTAAAGCCAGTAGTCCTTTTCAGGCCTCATTTTCTGCGTGTAAATGAGAGCGCAAGTGCATCTATACAACGGTAAAGTATGTCCTAAATGTGAGAGGTTACCGCTATCACTGAGAAACCAATAAACTTTTTAAAAGGATGAATGCCCTCTGCTGCAGACACCTCTCTTCTTCCCGTGCTCTCCCCAGCTCAGCCTGTTTGTGAAGTTTTTCAAGCCCAAGTGTAGGGCCTTCCATGTGTCCCTGGTCTGGCATCCAGTGTTCAGAAGGGTCCAAGAAAGCACTCTTTCCCTATTCTTCCAAGATACTGACAAATGCCTGGGAATGACAAAGACAAGGTCCATGGCCTGGGGCTGTGCAACCACATGGCTTGCCAACGCCTCTGTTGCCTGAGGGAGAAGTAAGAATAGCCAGGGCCTCGCCCGCTGTGTTGCTGTGATGTGAAGTAGCATGTAGTATTTTACCTCCTCTGTAAGCTCTATAAGGGAAAGGATGGGACAGAGCAGTGCACTCCAAGAGCAGAGCAGAGCAGAGCAGAGGGGCAGCCCTGTGACGTATAAATATGTCATCAGACACACCTTTGAAAGTGTGCTCAATGTCAGTGCCAAAGGGAACACTGACAGAGTGAAGGCCATTCCCAATCATCCACCTTTTCTCGAACTCACCAGATTTCACCATCTCCCAGTCTAGAAAGACGTCTGTTCCATGTCTGAGACCTCAGAGCTCCCCCTGCTTTAGAGGCCTCCTGGGAGAGTCTTCTGTGGTGTGGGGCAGGGATTCCCCACCTTCTACCCCAGGCTTCACCTCTTTGTGAATTCAACTCAGCATAGTTCAAGAGAGTTCACAACAATGACCACAGCCACACTAAAAGGTGTTATTAAAAGGAATTTAATAATCTTAATTAAAAACTCAACAGCAAATTCTGTCACAGGCCTTGGCAGCTGGAAGCAACTCCAGGGGTGTGCCCCGTTGGGATGTGGTTGGGCCACGGTCTTGGACACGGGGTCCACCACGGCCGCATGGCGAGGAGCTACCTGAAAGTTACTTCAATACAATATCAAAGATCTGCAAGGATTTTTTTTTAAAAAAGTTTTAAATATATTAGATTCTCTTGATTGCCATTTTACACAAAGCTGCTGATAGAGTATACAGAGTTTTAACTTTTTTTCACATAAAATACATTTTTCTTAAGTGTTCTCTGTACATCAGTGGCTTCTGGTCTGGTGAATTATTGCGGAGGGCTGGGGGTCTGCAGACTTTTCCTGGGTGCGCAGAGCCAGGCCTCGCACTATGGCACTTACATGCCCATGGGAAGCAGGTCCTCTGGCCAACTGGCCAGCAAGAGACTCCTATCGAGGAGAGGGCTATAGCTTCTGGCAAAGGGATCACTTCTATGGAGTTACCCACATGACCCACTGACCACATGACCCTTTGCTTTTATGTGCCCTGGGGGAGGGGAGGCTGTCACCAGGCTATAATAGCAAGAGTTAAATATAGTCCTTCTGAGCATCTTGTAAGGAGCACCTTCTGGAAAGTGCCCCAGTAGCCTGCTCTGGGAAAGCAGGTGGAAGAGAGAGCTCAAGATCAAAAGGTATCTGACACCAATAACCCAAATGGTCTTAAGTTACTATAAAGCCAGCGAACTGCGGTGGGATAAGACAGGGGGCATACCCTTGTCAACTTTCTAAACCCATTTAAGATGATAAAACGGTGCAGAGCAATTTCATCGATGCTGCATATTTGATGGAAAATTACGTCCTGAAGTCTTTAGTAGACTTGGGTCTAGGGTTCATTCAGCTTCCCTGAGTTACTGGCCAGAAACTCACCTGGTGACAATTTTCAATTGTCTGGGGCATAGGGTGGGGGCAAGGGCCAGAGCTCACAGGGAGCCATGTGGCACCTACTTTGGAAGTAGCCTCCTTCAATCTGCCAGGAACTGCCACCAGACCTGGGGCTCAGCAGGAGCTGGGCATCTGGTCAATCTCGCCAGGATTGTCCCAGCTCCTTGATCCACGCCTGCCCAGAAGAGAGACAGGCTCATGAGGAAAGGCTTCAGTGTTGAAGGAGAAGGTCCCTTTCCTCCCATTATCCACAATAAATAGTAAAAATCAGCACGAGGCATGGGTTTAAAAACCTGAGATGCATTTGGCAGGAAATTCCAGACTTCTTACTCCTCTAGACACCAACCTCAAACTGCTATTATATATACAGTGCCTCAAACAGCCTGGCCTGAAGGCAGCTAGGAACCCTGGGAGGTCCATATAGACTTGGGATGGTGTCTGCCTGGAACCCAAGACGCAGCATCTGCATTTAGTGGCAAATGTCATATAGGGATGGTCATGACAGCTACTTCCTGGCTAAAGGGATTCATAGTCTCGGGGGGCTGGAAGCTGAAAAGCCAAGGGGTGCTGGACCAGGATGCAGTCACTCTATCTCAGATGAATGGAATGGGCTGCTGCTGACACCCATGATCCTCAGAGATGAAAACCATGAGGAGCAGCCTCCTCACACTAGCTTGTTCCTCCTTTATCCCCAGAACCCAACACAGTGCCTGGTATGTCACAACTACTCAGTAAACTACATGCGTGAATGAATGGATGACCTTGACCCCGGCCTGTCCTTCAACACCCAAGAGACCCTACAGGAAAAGTACCCCAGGTACTTGAAGCCCCAACAGGGAGTGGTTTATCTCTGACTGAAAATACGAGCTTGTGCTCAAGAGTCTTCAGCCGGCTCCTGTTGGGGAATCAGCGGGATTCCCAGCCTTCTGGGCGGAGAGGACAGCCCAGGAGGCAGGAAGCCAGGGGAACGAGGGAACGGCCAGAGGGCTTAGCGTGGGCAAGAAATGCCTGGGCCCTGAGCAAGCCGATCCAGAAGCCTGCACAGCTCTCCCCCGAGGAGTGTGTGGCTTCCCTTGGCACTCCCAGCTTGTAGCTTAAGTTGGCTCAAGAGGAATTTCAGTGTTAGTCTGACCGGAACACTGTTTTAAAGCCAAAGTTATGTGTGTTTTAGGTCATCCCTGCCCTGCTCCAGCCGTAGGCTGAGGTGATAGAGAGCCCACCCAGACCCGAGGGACATAGGAGGCACCACGCACACCTGTCTGCAGTCTCCTGACCTCCCCTCCACCCCAGGCTGGAATGTCCTGGAGTTGGGGGGTAGGGTTGGGCTGGTGCTGTGATCCTCCCTGCATCCAAGAGCCACCAGGGGCACAGCGACTCTCCTAAGCCCTGTGCTCTCCTGCCCAGTGGCCCTACTCCTGGTAAAGCATCAGCCTGGCCCCTGCAAGCCAGCTCCCTCTCTGGGTTAGGGGAGTGTGTGAGGGCCACAGTGGGGACTGGGAATGACAAACGGCAGACCCATTGCTAAGGCTGTGGCACAAAGAGAACTTCTCCAGCCACAGCCCCCTGCCCAAGTGCCCCCTAGAGAGAATTTTTCATAGGCTCAGAAAGAAGAGGGTTAAAGGGAACCCAGATTTGTCCCCTAAATCACAGAATCAGGATCTAGGGGGCACCTTCAGAGCTCTAAGGAGGTAGTTTTAGGACAAATAAAAGGCTCACAGAGCAGGGAACAAACCTGCTCGTTAGTTACACCAATGGGTTTTGGCTGAGTCAGTGGATAGCGCCCAACTCACGGGCAACAGTTTCAAAGGGGCTCATGAGAGAATGCAGTGGAGGGGTGGTGAGCGGCCTGCCCCTCAGGTGATTGAATGGGTGGTCACACAGCTGGCTCCTGGCATGGGCAAGGCTGTGGGGAGCAGGCTTGTGACCAACCTCCCAGCATCAGGGAGAATGGGGCTATGAAACTGTAGGGCTGGAGTGAGACCCAACTCCAGCCCCACCACCTCTCTTCTGAATGCAGTTTGGGGTGTTGGCCATGGGCACCTTGGATTTGTAGCCCTGCGGTGTCACCACTCCAACAGGAGCGGGCTGGGAGCTCCTGGCCCAGGCAGGAACTCACAAGGGCCAACTGGCAACTTGTTTCACTGAGCATTCCAGAAAAAGCAGAGCGGGGGCCTGGGGGCCTGAGCATTCAGTCTGGGAGGTGGGCAGCAGCCCCTCACTGCTCCCTCTGGTGGCTCAGAGTGAGGAGGGCTGGCTGAGAAACTGCCAAAATGAGCTCACCCCTCTCCTTGGAAAAGCCCTTCCAACTGAAGCTCCTCACTTAAGTTCCTTTTTCCAACACAAGTCAGTAAGGCCTAGTGATCATGGCATTCTCCATGAAAGCAGCCAAATTCAATTTCCTCCCGCCTCAAGTTTTACAGCCTTACATAGTTCTTTTATCAAATGCACTTTTGGAAATGCTGCCTTTTGTTGCCTGCTCCACTTTTTGATGTTTCCATCCAAGAACAAAATGTGATTTGGAAAATTCCAGGAATGGAATAGACTGGTTTTCTACCTTGGCCCCTGGGTGGTCACACAGCTGTTCCCTGGCACAGGCAAGGCTGGGGAACAGGCCTGTGTCCGTTTCACCCACCCATGTAGGTTCATGGCTCCCTCTGGACACAGAGGGCTTCCTGCTCCTGTCAGATGTGGATGGTGGTCCAGACCCCGAGAGGACTCTGGGCAGGACTATGGGTCTCAGCTTAGCAGGCTCCCTCCCCTGCTAAAGCCACACTGGCAGTGGTGACAAACTGAGTCTTAACCTCAATCCTCTTGGGACTAGCTCACAAATTCTCTGTCCCACCTGCTTCCCATGAGCCCAGCTGTCATCCATACACAAGTTGATGAGGTGTGTGTGTGTGTGTGTGTGTGTGTGTGTGTGTGAGACATGCAAGTATTGGTCCAGAGAAGCCTTTACCAACAACAGAACTGGAGGCCCAGCCCTCCTCCCAAACCAGACAGCAGGGTGAGTTGGGAAGCCGCTGGCGGCCTTGTTTCTGATGGCAGACAATGCAGCAGGAAGCAGACCGTGGGAAGGGGCGTTGCTATGGGCAGCTGGCTGAGAGGTGGGGTCAGCGTTCCTCTGGGAAGCAGAGCCCATCTCCCCCCAGCTGCCCTCTGAAGGCTCCCCAGCCAGGGCTGCTGGGCCGGCCTGGATTCCAGGGACCCCTCCCCAAAGCATCTCTCTCCTCTGTCCCATGGAGACTAGGAGATGCGGCAGCAGCCGTGGACCTTCTCTTCCATCTCCTCAATGGGGGCCTTGAACTTCAAGAGGGGGGGATCTCCGCTGGTGACCGTGTAGTACACCGAGGTCCCATTGCTGCTGTACGGTGAAGTTCTGCCTCCGATCAAGGGGGCCTTGCCTTCGCTGCTGCTCTCGCCCGTCCTGGCCATGCCACTGCCCAGGTGGGTGCTCAGGAAGGGGTGGCTGAGCAGCTTGGCCGCAGCCCGGTGCCGCTTCAGCTCCAGAAGCGTCTGGGGGCTCTGTTCCTTGTAGCCGCTCCAGGGCGGGGCGGCGTCCGCCACGCCGGGGTTGCCGTAGACCATGCTGTAGTCGGGCGCCTCGTACACGTTCCAGGCGTCCCCGTTGGACAGTGCGTACTGGTAGGCGCCGACCGGAGCCCGCAGGCCATTCTCAACGGGCATGTCCATCTCGCTTCGTGGGATCTTGGTAGAGAACTCGGAGAGCAGCACGGGCTTCTCCAGCCGGGGGTTCTGAGAGGGAAAGGACAGCATTACCAGCTGGCTGGGGGGTCTGAGCCCACTCCCCCCCTGCGCCCCTGCCGAGGGCACTACTGTCGGGACCTGTCCTGCATCCATCTTCCCTACCTGGGTAACAGGACACCCAGTTTTCTCTGGGGAACTCACCAATCAATGTGTTTTAATAAAGCTAAAACCCTCATCCTTGCTCCAAGGGCTGGACCATGACCCCAGGCCTGGACAGTCAACACATTCATTACAGGAATTGGCTCAACGGTGGGTTCTAGACTGAAACTGGTTTGATGAAACTCAACCCTGGGACTTCTGCTAGAATGACTGGGAGAGAGAAGTTCTGTTTCTATAGAAATTGCTGGTGGTGAGAATGGTACAAGTTGGGGGCTGGGGAGACACCATGTCAAAGGGCCTGCTTGATAGTGAGGCTGATGTGAAGGAAGACTGAAGGAGACAGAGAATGCGTCCCGATGCTGTGTTTTCAGGCCCTGGATCCAGCTGGGCCCAGACTTTCCAGTGACATGAGCCTGTAAATTCCTTTTTTGTGTGAGTCGACTTCAGTTGGGTTTTTGGTTACTTGCAATCCTCCCTCTGTATTCCCAGCACATCTCCACTCCAAATAGCAGAGATTCCTTTACACCCAGAAGTCCCTGCATAACTGGAGCTGCCTAGAAACTATCAATGAAAAGGTGGATACGTTTGACAGTAACGAAAATGTAAAGACTAGCAAATCGCCATAAACAAAGTCAAAAGACGCATGACAAAACTGGAATGATATCTGCAACATATATGACAGAAAAGGGAACAATCTCTCAAATAAATAAAGAGCTCTTAAAAGCTCATTTAAAAAAGGCTCTACTGCACAAAAGAAAAAAGTCAACAAAGGACACTAATATACAGCTCACGGCAAAATACAGCATTAAACACAGGAAAAAATAAAAACATTCAACCTCACTAATGATTAACAGCATAAAAATTAAGACACTGAAGGTTTTACCAATCACACTGACAAGTGTTTCTAAAGTTTGTTGTTACTCAGTGCTGGAAGGGTGTGGGAAGATAGCTAGGCATGTAAACTGCCACAGCCTCTTTGGAGGTCGATAATCACGTCATCCAAAAAAAACTTGAAGAATGAATACTTTGCACCAGCAAGCCCATTTCCAGGACTTTGTTTCACAGATATGCTCCCCAGGAGAGCAAAGCCTGAAAGTCATAATTAGGCAGGTGGGAAATTATGACATGTCCTTGTACTGGAATATTCTGCAGCTAAGAATGAAGACAGTCTCCACGTACTGACTTAGGATTCCAGGGATCTCCAAGAAATGTATAAATCACAAATAAAAATAAATAAAGCATAGCTGGAGGCATCTGAAATGTGATTTGATTTCTGTCTACAACTCTTTTCTCCCCAACCCCCAAGCTTGGGGACTAGATGGAACAAGGCCTCCATGTTGCCCTCTCCATCCCAGCCTACCCCCAGCCCCCCAGCTTTGATGGGGATCCCCTTCAATAGGCACCACCACTCCTGCTGGTGAGACCAGCCTGCACGTGACCTCCCCATTCACTGGGGAAGCAGGGTCCCATGGAGATGTGTGCGCATGCTGGGCAACTAATCACCCTGCATCCCGCCAAAGCAACACTCTCTAGAAATGCTTTCAGCTGCTCGTCATGTGGTGGTGGAACCAAAAGGCAGCCCACGGCCCAGACAGCCAGCCTCTCCCTCCTCACCCCCAGCAGTTCTGCTCTGGCCCCAAACTTTTGCCCCACTCAGCAGCACAGCCAGGCATGGGCCCGAGTGTATCAGTACTGAGTTGAACAGTGTCCCCTCAAATTCATGTCCACTCCACACCTCTCAACATGACTTTATTTGAAAGTAGGATCTTCACAGGTGGCATTAGTTACTTTAAGATGAGGTTCTATTGGATTAGGGTGGACCCTAATCAATGGCCCGTGTCTTTCTAATAAGAGAAGACAGAGGCACAGACACACACACAAGGAGGAAGACCATGTGAAGACAGGCAGAGTCTGGAGTCATGCTAGCTAAGCCAAGGAATGCTCGAGCCACCAGAAGCCGAGAGAGAGGCACACAGCGTTTTAGACTTTTAGCCTCCAGAACTGTGAGAAAATAAATTTCCGCTGCTTTAGCTCCAAGTCTGCAGTAGTTTGTTACAGCAGCCCCAGGACACCAACAGAGCATCCTCTTAGGAGAGCAGTCTCAAACCCGGGACCATTGGCTATTACTGGCTCAGGCTGCTTAGAGGTCCTACCAGTACCTATCAGTTTTTCAAAAAATTTCTCCTAATCAGATGCATTCTGATAAACACAGTTCTCAAACTCTTGTTATATCCCCTGGCCCCCACCCTGGGAGTTTTAGTGTCCTTAGCTCCCAGGGTGGCTGCCCTACTGAATCTCTTTCCTGGGAAGCCCAGGTTAGACCTGTTGGAGTATGAGCAGGCGCAGGGTGGTCACTCGTCCCCTGTCGATTATGAGAACTAATGGATGCCAAAGCCCCCAGCTCTGACTCCAACACACCCTAGGCTCCCCTCGTTAACCACAGTAGCCACCATCACACTGGATCCAGCTGGTTTGAGGGCCCTGCCCAGCTAAGCTCCCCCTGGAGGCGCTCAGATGACCAGGCCAGACCAGGCTGGGGCCCTGGTCTCCTCCCCAGGCGGCGGCTGACGCCGGGGCAGGGCATGGGGCCACTCACTGGGTCCTTATTCTCCTGGTCTGTCCTGGTCTCCCGGACGTCCCCGTTGTAGGCTGCGGTCCGCTGGTCCTCAGCCGCGCTCCGCTGCTGCCACAGGATGGCCTCGCCCTCATACTCCTTCCTGTACAGGTTGGTTCTGTCCGACAGGCTGGCTCGACGCACCACCTTCCTGCAGGAGAGAGGGGGCCCGAAGGCTGCGTCCAGGCCCACAGGCGGGCGCGGGCATGGGGACCCCTGGCTGCCCGGCCCCCGGCTCACCCCCGGCTGCCTGCGCTGGACGTTCTCCGGCTCAAGGACGACTTGTGCCTCAGCTGGGACTTCATGATCACGTCGTGCTTGTGCTTCAGCTCCAGCAGCAGGACCCTGAACTCCTCTTCCTCGCACAGGTCTGAAAGGGCAGGGGAGTGTGCTGTGGCCCCCGAGATCCCTCCAGACCAGAGGAGCTGAAAACTCCCAGCATCCTCTGGGGCATGCAGGGAGGGGAGAACACAACGCCACCCTTATTTCCTGGCCACAACCCAATCCCTAGAGGAAATAACAGGAAACCCAGGTTCCGGACAGTCACAACTCCTGAGGGTCCCAGCTACAACTGAAGGAGTCAGACACCTTTGATAGGTTCCAATAGGACTTATCAACTCTCCACTGACACAGGAAGTACCAACAGAAACAAGCAGGTACCCTGTAGCCCAAGCAAGAAGGTATTCCAGGGTGCTAAAGTCGTATCTCCTCACCCAGCAACCCACCTAATTCCTCCACTCATCCGTCTGCCTCTTCCATGACGAGTCATCCATCCATGTGTCTGTCCTCTACCCACCCATCCATCCATCCATCCTTCACACTCTATCCATGCATTCATCCACCTATCCATACATTGATCTATCCATCCATCTGCCCATTTATCCATTAATCTATCATCCATTAATTTATTCATTCATCCACATATCCATCTATACATCAATCCAGTACCCATCCAACCATATATTCATCCATGTATCCACCTACCTGTCAGAAAATTGATGAGAGCCTATGTGTGTAGCAGGTGGTGTGCTGGACTTACCTATTGGCATTTCATCCATAGATGTCCTAGCACTGAGACTGGCTCCATGAGATACCAATAGCTCTGCCATTTGCATCTGAAACACAGGAAGAAGCCCATGTTCCCACTACCCAGGACTCAGAAAGCCTAAGAGATGGAAGGAGTGCCCAAGGCCTCTTAGGATGTGACCCAAAGAATGGTGGGGCAAAGCTGATTCCCAGGGAAGGCTGATTCCTGGGATGCAATGGACTGACACCACCTCCAGAATGCCTGGGCCAAGGGACAGAAGAAAAAGGAGTCAGCTGTAACTCTAGAGCTGTCAGGTGTCTAGGGAGGGACTGCAAAAACTGCAAGCAGGGTTTTATATCTGGGAAACAAATGGAGAAACTACTCAAAGCAGAAACACTGGGATTTTCTAATTTGGCAAATTTGTTATCCTGTTAGAATACAACTTGTCAAATGTTTTTGCCAACCCCCTAGGTCTTTTCACAGCTCATATACTAGCTGTAGTCACTGCCTTAAGTGGGTCTTGTGTTGAACCAACCGCTAGACCACAGAAGGGCAGGTTGATCCTGTTCTGGCCTCTCCCACAGCCCTGTGGGTGAAAACTACCTGTCCCCAGAAGGCAGCCGCGTGCAGGGGCTCCCAGCCATCCCAGTCCTTCACATCCACGCGCACTCCATGGTCCAGGAGGAGTTCGGCTGCTCGTAGGTATCCATTGGCTCCAGCTATGTGCAGCTGAAGGAAAGGAAAGATGTGAGCATTCCTTGGGGTGGCCAGTCCCACATTTGGAGGTTGGATAGCACTCTCCCTAACCCAAGTCTAAGATCATTCTTGGATCCAGAAGAATAGAACAGAATGAGGTGGAAATACCAGCCACATTGCAGGGAATGATTACATCTGCAATATGGACCTAGAAGGTAAGGCAGAGAGGTGAGCTCTTCTCCCTTATGGTTGGTCTTAGAGCTCCTGTGGTTAAGGAAACAGTGTTTACTGAATTCCTACTATATGCTGAGCCCTGTGGAAGAGGTCTCAGGAGTCCAATACGATGGTTTTAAAATATGCAGCCCAGCCAGCATGGCTCAGCGGTTGAGAGTTGACCTATGATCCAGGAGATCTTGGTTCGATTCCTCGTCAGGGCATATGCAGGCTCAGTCCCCAGCAGGGGGCGTGTAGGAGGCAGCCAGTCAATGACTCTCGTCACCGATGTTTCTAGATCTCTCTCCCTCTCCCTTTCTCTCTCTGAAATCAATAAAAATATATATTTTTTAAAATAAAAAATAAAAAAAATATGTCTGCAAATTCTTTGACACATCTCCCTTTAAAGGATGGAGGTTAATTTCTCTCCCCTTGAATGTGGACCAGATTGAGTGACTTGCTTCTAACAAACAGGATATTGTGAAGGGCAGCATGTGATTTCTGAGGCTCGGTCATAAAAGGCATTGCTGTTTTTACCTTAGGCTCTCTTGGATCAATCACTCTAGAGGAGGCAGCTATCATGTGAGGACATTCAAGTAGTGCTAAAGAGAGGTCCCAAAGAAGCAAGAAACTGAGGCCTCCTGCCAAGAGCCAGCACTAACTTGCCAGCCACCTTGGAAATGGATCTTTCAGCCCCAGTCAAGCCTTCAGATGACAGCAGCCCTGGCTGACATCTTCACCACAACCTCATAAAAGACCCCAAGCCAGAGCCACCCGGCCAAACTATTCCCAATTCCCTGACCCACAGAAACTATGTGAGATGATAAATATTTCTTGTTGGTTTAAGAGGTTGAGTTTTGGGGTGGTTTGTTACGTAGCCAATACATCCAATAAGGGAAAGCCTCATTCATGCTAAGGCCCCAGCTCTTCTACCTGGCATCATTCAAGGCCTCCAATGATGGGTGCCACCTTGCAGACCTTAATTGCCCCATTTGTTCAATCTCCCAGAAAATACATAAAATACTTAGCACATGATGAACACTCAGGAAGTGATTAACATTCTTAGAGAGCCTTAAGTGATCACAAAGTGCACCGTGGGAATAGAAGAGGGATTGAGAAGGAGAAGAGGCAAAGAGAAACCAATTGCTCAGCCAAGGTGGGAGATAGAGGTGAGAGCCCAAGGAAGCCAATAGAAGACTGGCTAGGAGCAAACAGAGGCCCCAACTGTAGAGGTGTGGCCTCCGCCACGTGCTAGCCCACTTCAGCTCTAGCTGGTCTTGGTTTTGGCGCCTATCCTCACCAGCGTGGCACCCTGGGCATCGACCCAGTCAAGGTCCTGGCCCGCTGCGATCATACAGTGGATGTCCGCAATCATCTGCTGCTCGGGAGCCGCCCGCATCTCGTTGATTTTCTCTTGAGTGATGCCTGTTGGGGAGGGAGGATTTGGTCAGCACCCCAAGAGGGGAGAGAAGGAAAGTCAGATAGGGAGGGCAAGGCTTCTGCTACCCAGGGTCTGCCAGTTAAGGGGTAGACAGATATGCCCACAGATCACTATGTTCCAGGCCCAATGAGCATAAATGTGTGCTGGCCCACAGGACAAAGGCCACTCTTGCCTGGAGTGACCCAGTAGGCCCTGTAATGATATCGGTTACTGTTAAACATGCTGTTCTTCTACCCGGAAATCCTACCATCCACATACCCAGCGAAAACTGATCAAATGGCTGGCTCCGTCTCATCCTCTGGGTCTGGCACCCTCCCCTGACCACCCTATCTGACCAGGGTGTGTTAGTTTCCTTCATCTCGTGCACAGTTGCGTTTGAAGCATCTGGTACAAGGCTCAGTGAGATTTTTGTTACAGGAATGACTGAATTAATGGATATACAGGGGTGGGCAAAAGTAGGTTTACAGTCATGAGTACACAAAACACAGTTTATTCTTGTATGATTATTAATTATTGTATTATTTTCCATACGAACTGTAAAATTACTTTTGCCCCACCCTGTATAACTTTGAAATGGAGAGTTGAATAAATTGAGGTGGAGGGGCCCAGAAAGACATTTGAAAGCCTGAACCTCTAGCTGAAATGTTTAAGTGTTACTGGCAGCTATGGATGATATTTAGTGAGAAAGTGACATGCTCTATAAAAAGGTCCATTAGATCAAGCAGTCTCGGGTAGAATTCAGGGGAGCTCTGTAAACTGGAAAGGACGAAAAATGCACATGTTTATTTTTAACCTTCAAGTGAAACAGAGCATTTCCTTCTATTAGACGTAGGCAAAACCACAGAATGAGTGGCGCCTCTGCCGCTCTCGCCAACAGAAACTGTAGGTATTTTCATATCATATTATCTGATTGTTTCATGAATTAATAAAGTTTGTAGGTAACACATTTTAAAATATTTTGGTAGCTTTATTTGAATATAGTTGGTTTCCTTTATAATCCTATGATTTTGATAACCATATTTAAAAATATTATTCTGAGAAGGGGCCCATAGATTCACAAGATGGGCACAAAAACTGGTAGGAGCCTCTGCAGGAGATGAGCGGTTAGAGCCCCGGTGCCAGGGAAAGCACACAGCAGATGGGGGGGGGGTGCTGGGATCTGGGGAGAAACAGGGGCAGGGCCTGGACCGACGGGGCTGCAGGCCAGGATCTGGCTTGAGATTCCTTTCCGAGGAGGAGCCTCAGAGTTTGTACTGGGCGGGGGAGGGGGAGGTTGCTGATTGCTACACTTGTTTCCTTTCTGCAGCTCTTTTGTGATTGAGAACAGCCCACATCTTGTTTATCCCGGCCCCTGGCAGCCAGCATGGTGCCTGGCAGGCACCAGCAAACGTTCCTGACTTTTTATTATTTTCCCAAGTGGGAATATATCTTTATTGTGAATGTTTATTGAATTGCCACAGCTGACGAAGAGGAGAGGAGGCCAGCTGAGGCTGCCTGCGTGGGTGGGTGACACAGAGGAGAACAATACCTCCCTTCTGCACAGCACGTGTCCTCATCTTGTTAATCACACAACAGTAATCATAACGGGGACCCACCCTATTTCCTGAGCCCTGAGCACGAGGCAGGCAGGTACTAGCTTGCTAACCTGTTCACCCGAGTTGATTTAAGAGCTGCTCACGGCAACACTGCCCTGAGCCCACTTTATGGCATGTGCCACACTCTTACCCTGGTAGGCCATGCACGTCTCGATGACATCCAGGGTGGGCTCATCCTCACAGAGGTCATACGGCATGTTCCCATCAGAGTTGACAGCAAGCAAGTCGGCCCCACTGCAGAGAAAGGGCCAGGGTGAGGGCCAGGTGGGTATGGCTAGGGTTGGTCTGGCTGCCTCTGCCCTCTGGCCTCTCATCCACTACCCCATGTGCACCCAGCACCCACAACCCTGCCAAAATGTGCCCCAGCAAGGACAGTGGCTTCAGGATCCTGGGAACCCCAGACGCAAAGAGGCCAAAATCCTAGAAGAATTGTCCCAACAGACCCCCAGTTTCCTTCTCTGGTGAGCCAGCAGGCAGGCCCCTGAGGACAGGTGTCAAAGTCCTCCCTGGTGACAATAATAAAAATAACATTAGCGACAGCAGCACCAGTTGTCAGGCATTTGCTTAGAGTCAAGCTTGAGCCAAGCCCTGTACACACATCATGGTATTAAATCCTCATAACAGTCCTCTCGGGCTGGTATCGCTGGCCCCATCTCACTCAAGGGGAAACAAAGACTCAGATCCGTTCAGTCACTTGTCCAAGGTCACACAGCTGGGATGTGGGAGGGTCAAGAATCAAACCTGTGTCTCTCATGTGCCAGCTTTTTTCACTTCTCCATGTTTTGTTGCAATTTTTGCCCACATGCAGAAACTTCCTTGGCTATTCCCCACCTCCCCCTCCAAGTTCCTGCCCAAAAGGCTGACCAGGACAGGGACAGGACAGGGCCCGGGCTCCCTGGCAGAATCTGTCTTTTGGGCCAGTGGTTCCCACGCATGGTGCTGGGATGCCACTCAGCAGAATTACCTGGAACTACTAAATTACCTGGGCTCCACTCCAGACCTCCTGAAGCACAGTCTCTGGGGGTGAGGCTCCGGTTATGTATTCTAAACCCATCCCCACACGATTCTGGTACAGGTCAGCATTGGGAACCCACTGCACAGGCTGCCACCACGCCCTCTCACCCCATCGCTGATCAGGCTACGGCCAATTCATGCTCCAGGCAGACTCAGCCACACCCAGATTCTCATCAGAGGTGCGGCATGGCCCACTAGCCAGTCCTTCGGCCTAGCAACCCTCCACTGGGACCTCTCTAAACCCTGTGTGCACTTGGGCAAGCTAATCCGCCTCTCTGAGCTAGGGCAGCAGTGCCATCAGCTCCATCCCCACAGCAGCCACCCAGTGGGCCCCTGCTGCTCTGCCAAGACCTCTGCAAAAGGTCACTCTTCCTGACTCCCTGCTCTCAGATGCTCTCATTGGCCTCCTGGGGCTCCAAGCCACTGGTCTCACTCTGTCTTGGCTCTGATACTGAAATCACTTGATTTCCTGCCTGGTTCCTTAAGACTTTTGCATCTCTGAGTCCACAGGGCCTGGCCCAGCTCAAATGCCCACCAATTATTAGATTAATTCAATTGAAAATATTTGAAATTAAATGTTGCCTTTTTGTGTGATTATAGAACCCTAGAATTTCAGGGCAATAAAAGACCATCAGAGCAATAGAGAGAGAGATGGCCTTGTTCATGGGAAAGACACTGCTGTCCGAAGCCCCCAAAGCAAGTTCTGCCACAAAGAAAAGCATGTGGATAGGACTGGGGGAGCAAGGACAAGGAAGTATGCTTGATTTTTGGATAGCAAGAAAAACAGAATAGGGAACAACACATAAAGGGAGTGGAGGAGAAGAATTTAGACTCATGCACTCATGGAGACAAAGAAAAAGATATTTTAATAAAGAGAATGATACCCTGACACCAAAGGCACTACAAGAAAAGAAAACCATAGGTCAATAACCCCATGAACACATGCAAAAATTCTCAACAAAATACTAGCAAACCAATTTCAGCAGCATATCAAAAGGATTATACACTGCAACCAAAGGCAATTTAGTCCTGTAATGCAAGGATGGTTCAACAAACAAAAGTTGATTGATGTAATTAATATACCACATGACAGGATGAAGGGGGTAAAACCCAACCACATGATTTTCTCAATTGACACAGAATCAGCATTCGACAAAATTCAGCACCCTTTCATGATAAAAACACTCAACAAATTAGGAATAGGAGGAAACTACCTCAACATAATAAAAGCCATATGTAAAAAACCCACAGCAAACAGCAAACTTAATGGTGAAAGCTTTTCCTCTAAGGTCAGAAACAAGGCAAGGATGTCTGCTTTCGCCACTTCTACTCAACATAATACTGGAAGGTCTAGAAAGAAAAGTTAGGCATAAAGGATAAATAAATAAATAAATAAATAATAAAAGGCATCTGAATTGGAAGAGATGTAAAATTATCTTTATTCACAGATATGATCTTATATGTAGAAAACCCTAAAGATTTCACACAAAAAGTTAGAATGAATAAATTCAGCAAAGTGGCAGGATACAAAGTCAACACACAAACAAGTTGCATTTCTATACACTAACACTGAACAATCTACAAAGCAAATTAGAAAAATAATTTCACTTCTAATAGCACCAGAAAAATTAAAGTAGTTAGGAATTAACTTCACCAACAAGGTGAAAGACTTATACAATGAAAACTACAAAGTGTTGCTGAAAGAAATTTAAGAAGATATAAATAAATAAATGGAAACACATCTCATGTACATGAATTGGAAGACTCAATATTGTTAAGATGTTAATACTATCCAAAGCAATCTACAGATTCAATGCAATGCCCATCAAAATCCCAATAATTGTTTTTTTACCTGAATTCTCAAGGACTCCAAAGAGCCAGAACTACCTGGAAAAAGAAGACCAAATATGGTGCACTGACACCTCCTGATTTCAAAACCTAATGCAAAGCTGCAGTAATCAGAATGGTATGGCACTGACATAAAGGCCCACAGGCCAAAGGAAAAGAACAGAGAGCCCTTCACCTATATGTAAGGTGAGGATTTTCACCAAGGATACCAAGACCATTCACTGGGGAAAGGAAAGTCTTTTCAATAAATGATGCTGGAAAAACTGGATATGATACAAAACAATGAAGTTGAGCTCTTACCTTATACTATATTAAAAAATGAACAAAAAAAATGGATGAAGATCTTATTGTAAGACCTAAAACTATAAAGCTCTTAGAAGCATAGGGCAAAGCTTCATGGCATTGGATTTGGTCGTGATTTCTTGGATATAAGACTAAAGGTACAGGTAACAAAGGAAGAATATAGGTAAAATGGCCTCCATGAAACCTTAAAAATTTTCTATCTCAAAAGACACTCTTAACAGAGTAAAACGACAACCCACAGAACGGGAGGAAATATTTGCAAATCATGCATGTGATAAGGGATTGATATCCAGAGAACTAAAATTCAACAACAACAAAACAATCCAATTCAAAAATCAGCAAAGGACTTGAATAGACATTTCTCCAAAGATATACAAANATATACAGAGAACTAAAATTCAACAACAACAAAACAATCCAATTCAAAAATCAGCAAAGGACTTGAATAGACATTTCTCCAAAGATATACAAATGGCCAATGAGCACATGAAAAGATGCTCAACATCGCCAGTCATTAGGGAAATGCAAATCAAAACTGCAGTGGGATATCGCCTCACACCCCTTAGCCTATGACTAAAAAACAACAGAAAGTGTTGGTGAGGACCTGAAGAAACTGGAACCCTTGTGCGCCGTTGGTGGGAATGTAAAAGGGTACAGCTACTCTGGAAAAAAAGTATGGCGATTCTCAAAAAACTAAAAATAGAACTACCTATGATCCAGCAATTCCACTTCTGGGTGTAGGCTGGAAAGAACTGAAAGCAGGGTCTCGAATGTTCCCAGCAGCAGAATCCACAACAGCGAAAAACCCAGAAGCCACCCAAGCGCCCATCAGCAGATGAATGGAGAAGCAAAATGAGGTTTATACATGTGCAATGAAATATTACTCAGCCTGAAAAAGGAAAGAAATCCTGACTTGCCACAACATAGTGAACCTTGAGGAGATGGAGAGAAAAAGGGGAATTGAGGGAAGAGGGGAGAGGTGGAAACAGAGAGAGGAAGAGGCAGAGTTAAAACAGGATGCGGGGAGAGAGAGAGAGTCCCAGGCACCGAGAGCCGAAGGAAGGAGCAGAGAGAGAAAAGAGGGAGAAGGAAAGAGATGGGGAAATAAAGAACTTGGGGAAAAGGGGGGCGGAGAGGAGGCTGTCCTGGGGAACAGAGAGACACGTACTACTGAACGAGGATTTTCACCAGGTTGATGTGGCCGCAGGTGGCGGCAGCGTGCAGGGGTGTCCACAGCTCATTGTCCTTGGCATTCACGTTTGCACCGTGGGAAAGGAGCAGCTTGACAATTTCCTCAAAGTTGTCGATGCAGCACTGTGAAGGGAACACAGGCAGGGTCAGCTCCAAGCAAGGCCCCAGGCCCCGGAGGGGACACACCTGGTTCCCCCGAGAGGCCCCCAGAAGGACAGTAGAGCCAAACTGCCTGAGATCGAATCCAGCTCCAGTATGTATATGCTGTGTGATCTTGGGCAAGCCACTTAGCCTTTCTGAGCCTGCTTCCTTGTAAGTTAGTAATATATAGGATAAAAATATAAAGAGAAAATTTTTATAAAGTCAGCTCTAAAAAGCTTCAAAAGTGTTGGTGGAATGAGACAGTTTTGAATGAAGCTTAAAACCTCTCCTTTTTAATTCCAGAAGGCTTTCTTCAAAGGAGAATGTATGGAGACGACTAACTCAGAGACCAACAGATTCAAGCAGGGCTGCAGGGGGAGGGGGAAGCTGGGGAGTAAGGGGGTTCCCTTCCCAGCAGTGGCCTCCAATGCGTGGCCCTAGATCCATCAGTTTGAAACCTCTGACTTAGGAATTTATGACTCAGGAGCTTGAGGAAACCCCAAGCAGTGAACCCAGCTCAGCGTGAAGGCTGGGGTGGGGGAGTGTCCTGAGAGGGAAGGTCAGCCCCCTATATAGGCTCAGGGGCCATTAGTCATTGGAACCCCTAATTCCAGGGATAGAGAGCAAGAGATTCCAAGGAGACAGAAAGGCCTCCAGCCAGGGCAATGGGCAGGGGAGGCGAGGACAGAGGAGGAAAACAGGCTGCAGGAGAAGTCGGAGGGGGACTGAGCTCAGCACTGCCCATCCAGGAAGGGCTTGGCCTTCAGCGCTGCGGGAGCCGTTGCAGAGCTCTATTTGGGGGTACAGCACAACCAGACTTGTCTTTCTATAGCCCCCCTCTAGTTGCAAGTGGAGAATAGATGGCAAGAGGAGGGACGGTTAGGAGCATGTGGAAATCGCCCAGTTAAGAGATGGTGGTGGCCTGGCCTACAGAAGTGGCTAGGCACGGGGAGAAGGGGCTGGGTGCGGGTAGAATGAGAGGGGCCCTGTGGGAGCCATGGCCGCAGGTGGCTGTGGGAATGGGGATGGAGCAGCACCACAGTCCCCACCCCCACCCCAGTGGAGCCAGGGCTCAGCACCAGAACACGTGCGAGAGGAACAGTCATTTGCACAGATGGTGCCAGAGACCCAGGTTCTCTTTCGATGCCAGTCAGTTTGGGGATGGCTGGGTCTGGAGGCATCTGTCCCAACAGCGGGGCACAGGTGACCCAGTGAGGCCAGGCTGCCTCAGGTGGTGGGGAGGAGCATGCAGTGGCGCGACACGGCCCGCAGAGGGCGCCAGAGGAACCGGAGTGAGGCCGCGGGGAAAGGACCGGAGCGCCCCGGCTGTCCCCTGAGATGAGTCAGGGGAGCCCGGGTTCCTATGAGGAGCAGCTGCCCAGCACCTAGGGTCAGGGGATAGGAGGGCCAGAGATCCCACCTTTAGGGGCTGCAGAAAATATGAGGATGGGGGAAGGAGCCTCAGGTTGAAGGGGGCAAGGACTGTGCACCCAGAATTGCAGTCTTGTGACCGGGGTGCCTGGGGGCTGAAGCAGCCTGCACCTGGGAGACCGGGTCTGAGCAAGGGCTGGGCTGGGGGCTGGCTGCAAGGGTGCAGTGGGGTGGGGTGGG